AGACTTTGCTCACAAGTATTTAATATTTATTGGGGAGGTAGCCCAGACCAAACTGTCTAGACCAGCCTTGCTCAACTCTTCATTCAATACAGTATACTTCATTCACACCCAATATATATGGTCATTGTTCTCTGCCAAGTACAGTTTCTGGAGTAGTTTAGCCACCTGCTTTGCAGGACTTCCTATTTTGGAGTTTTTTCATGCTCTTTCCTTTTAAACCTTCATAGGAGGCACTGAGAGAGAATATAATATATGAAAAAGGTTGCATAAAATTGTATGGAATATTTCCCATCCTACTACAAGAAAGCTAGAAATTTGCACTAGTGCCATTCACATGCCAGGTTGATCATACTGTATGTTCATTTAATCCATGAGATGGGATTAAAATAGTGATTTGGTCTGTAGGAAGTCATTAAAAACTTGTTTATCCCTTCTTTGATATGGATGTGTGTGCGTGAGTGTGTGCATAGGAAATGACAGCCTGCTTTTTGTAAACATAAAACTAATAAAGCTCAGCAGGCCAAGATAACATAATGCATTCTAATTAAAATCTGTGTCCGGAAAGGCACATCACAGAGCCCTGCCGACTTGATTTGTTTTGGCTGCTGTAATTTAATATTTTTGTTCCAGTCAGTATGCTACAACTGTAAAAGTACAAAAAGCTCATGGAGTAGTTATTGTATGGATCTCCATGGACACCATTCGACACATTATATAGAATTAGGCATTATACTGAAATGGGAAAATTCTCAGTTGTGTCACAATAGACTCTGAATCCATTATTTTAAATGTTCCTCAGGTTTTAAAAAAATCCAGAACCCTTCCTTGTGTATGTATCAGGAAGAGAAGTATTCTATATCTGTCTCTAGTGGATTAACTCAATGCATGTACTATAGTTACTTCATGTGGTATCAGCCTTGTGAGGTATTCCAGACAAGAAGCGCACCCATGAGTACTAGCTCTGTATTTATTGTAAGGTTACATTAACAGAATCTTGCAAATCTGAAACTACACCTCTCCCCACTTCACCTTTACAGTCCAAGAAACTAGAAAGGGTCCCTTCTGAGACATTTGCCATGACCCCATTCCTTCTGCAGTCTCAGCTGCTTTTTATCTGACTGTTGCCTAGTTGTGGCTCTTCCTCCTGTCTCCCAAAGTCAGACAAAATACCATTGCACTTGGAGAACAGTTTGAGGTGATATGGTCCAAAATTTCTTATCGTTTGCATGCTATGATAATAATAACTTTAAATTGTTGACTCTATAGAAGATATCAGGAAATGGCCTGATATCTCTCGGTCTGGAATCAGTGGAGCATCAACTTACTATACTAAAATAGTCTGCTACATACAGTTCCAGAGCAGATTGAGAATAACATTTCACAAAAAGCTCTTATTTGTGCATCGGTTGTGATAGGGATGGGAAAGTATACAATTGCAGTTAATGTTAACACTGCAATTGATCATGATGTCATTGGGATGTATGCAAATTGGAGGTCCTGTCTGTTGCCTGCAAATTTTGGAGTAGTAACAGAACACGTGAATTCTGCAAGCTCCTGTCTAACTTTGCATGCCTCCCGGTTTATGCCTGTTGTTTGCAGTGTTCAGGCAGTCCAATTCTCAAAACATTTTTCTGGCAGAAGGCTATTTGAAACTTCCAAAGTGTTGTTTTTAGATCTCTGCCAAGAAATGGTGGTCATAATAATCCTTAAGGAGCTATCAAAAACAGGTTGCATGGTTTCTGATGTCTCATTAATGAGCTTGCTTAAAACAACAACAGCAACACATGACTGTGTTAATATTCTCCTAAATTTTAATGTACTATGGACTCAAGGTATGAAATGATTATGTTTCTAATTAAACCACAGCAGCTATTAGCAAAAGCTTTATTGTAAGTGGTGATAGATGTTTGTGTGCAGCAGCCTAGAGACTGTAAACAGCTTCTAACCAGGTAAGGTAAAAACCACTGGATGCCAAAGTCATGATTTGTGTCCTCATTGATGTATTATGTATACAGTTTTCCATTTCATTACAGCCATCAGTGTAGATGTTGTTTTTGTCAGATCATTACAGAGAAATCTCCATTGAGGCTGAAAAGACGTTGAAATCTCCATATAAGACGTTGATTATTACTGTGACAGCTTATCTGTTCAAAATTCAGCAGTTTCCTGTAAATGTTCTATAGGTGCAGCAGCTTTTTGATGGATGAGGAGTAGTCTGGAGGATGTAAAAACATTTCAGGCAGGAGTAATGGATAGTACTTGTATGTACACTGGATTGTTACTTTTAAACCAGGGTCAAAGGCAGACTGTAATTTCCATTTCCAAGATGTACTCATAGACAACCTGCTATGGAAGCTACAGTGGGATATCTTATGTCACAACTGACCATCCAGCAGTTTAGTCTAAAAACCTATTTACATACTGTCAGTCCTTTTAGTAGGGAACTCAGGTGGTGAGTGTCAGTAAAACTGAAATAAAACCTTGTTGAAAAACTAGGGGTGTGAAAAAGTGAGGCATCCCCCCACCAAAGAAAAATGAGCATTTCAGAGGGACTGAATAGGCTCAGTGGCTATAGAGTGGCTTTCTCAGTTTCTTTAGAAAGAAAAGTTGAAAATCAGGAAGGGCAGGGATGAAATGTTCCAGCTGAGCTCTTTACAGCCTGTAGTATTCAAAAGGAGAAGCTGGCTTCCCGGTAGGAACTCTGAGGAGGTGCACTAAAAGGTGGTGAGAATGGTCTATCAGGACATTTCAATTCCTATCGGTCTTACTTTCTTTCAAAGTAGGAAACATAAAGTGTTTTAAGTAGCATCTTTTTGGGCATGGATATGATGCAATCAACTCTGACTGCTCATTGGAAGGATTGATAATGAAGCTCAAGCTCAGATACTTTGGT